GACGCACGAGGGATTAGTCGGTATACAGGCCCTGCGGCTGGAATATCCGTATGCTTAATCGAGTAAGAAACACTTTATTGGGTATCATAATCTGTCGCAGTTTTTCCATGTAGCTTTGCGTTATACATGCACCGATACACACTTCGTCCCCAACCTTTTGCATGCCAATACACCCATATGTGGTCCCCCCTCCCACCTTAATCCCCGGTATTCAACTCCAAATCAATCTGCACACCGTTGCTAATCGCATAATCCGCACACGTGAGATTATCATGAAACGGCCTCTCCCCCTGCCTCTTCAGCATAATCTCATGCACCGGTCGCCCAATCTTTGCAGCAACCATGGCTTTCAACAGCTTGATGGGGTCGCTGGGGAGGCAGGGGACTTGTGTCTTGGTGCCTAGACGGTCGTTGATAGTGACGAGAATCATGGGCTCAGAGGGTGCAGCAGGAGCCGCAGGAGCAGCAGCAGCGGATTTCTTTTCTTTTGGTTTGCTGTCGCGGTTCGAGTCGCGTGGTTTGCGGTCGCGCGAGCGGGAGCGCCGACGGCGCTCACGGCTCGAGTCTCGTCGTCTGTCGCGCGACGTATCTCGGGGACGGCGATGATCGCGCTCTCGGTCATCATCGCGTCTTCGGTCGCGGTCCGAGTAATCTCGCGGTCGCCTCTCTCGGTCTCGGTCTCGGTCGTCGCGTCGTCTGTCTGGGTCGCGACGCTCGCGGTCGCCTTTGAACTTGAGGTTGCTGAAGTTCTTGGGTTTACGTGGACCGGGGGATCTCCGGGGAGAGCGAGAGCGATCGCGGTCTGTTTTGGAAGAGTCCATCGTGACGGGCTTTACTCGAGAGGTTTGTGGTGCAAGGAGGAAGGTGGAATGGAGGTAAGCTCGTGTGAGGCAGCTTGGTAGAAAACGTGACAATCTTATCGATAAGAAGCATGCTGAGCGCGTCATCCCGTTCCCCAGGCTTTCTCCCACCCCCACATTCCGCTGTCCATAGTTTCGATCCTCTAGCGAGGCTTGCTTATATTCCAACACCATGTTGACAATCATTGACCGCTTGAACTCTCCGCCGGCGCAAACATTCCACGTGCTGCAGCCAACGTCGTCAACAATCACGTACACTGTCTCGACGCGTCCTGTTCCCAAAACACTACCCGCGCTCGTAGGGTACTATGCGGGGATATTGTTGAGAGTCTCACTAGGCTTCATAAGCATACTATCGCTATGGTCAAAGTTCTGCGTCACGAATGAAGCTCAATACGACCCAACTCTAAGACTATGGAAAATGGGACATGGTGTGGAAGCGCACCTCGTCAGGCTCACAGAAGCTTGCCAATGGCGATACTTGATACCTACTGCATGTATCATGCTCTTTCTGGTTTTTCGCCGCAACTACACAGGTACCTCGCTCCCCTGACGCCATCTTCTGGTCTCTAAGCTAAGGCAATCTACAGAAGAATCCCTCACCATACTCCGCGGCCTCGGTGTCCAGACCTCGACTACATCTTTGACGTATCTCCAGACGCCCACCACGCGCTTTATACCCACCACGAGCATACAGGACGTTTTCATACACGAGGCGTTCAAGGGATTCGAAGTGAGATTTTATCTCATGGTAGTAGTGGAGGACGAGGAAAAGGTCGTCGTTGTGTTTCCGAGATTGCTACCGAGAAGAGAAACGCTAGAGATCGTTTGGAGGGGCGTAAGAGGAGGATTGTGGGAAGACAGCATGAAGAGTGCAGACCGGGAAAAGAACGTTGAGAGCAAAGCAGCGGGGACGGTAGAATCGTAACATGAATAAAGTGCTCCAATATATGTCGTAACAACCACATGATTAGAACCTCGTCCGCGTCCTACACATGCTCTGAGGGTTTGCGTAAGCCTCCTCATTGAGCTGCCGTAACATTGTATCCATACCTTCAGCTTCGCTACACTTTTACAAGCATCAGAGCTCCCCGTTTACAACAGTCCATCCGGGTGCTCTAGCCTCGTGGTAGGAATCACGCCTGCTCTGGTCTTTTTGGTATCAATCTCGTCCTATCCAAACCCCAATACGCCATATATCCAGACCCATACCCGTGCCCAATTTTCTAGTACCTATACCTAGTACTGTAGTCCTTCGGCGACACAACCAGACCTCTACCCTTCTTCGCCCCCCGATATACCGTCTCAATGATATCAATAAACTCCTGCTTATCCTCCAACACCCAGTTCAGCTTGTTATTATTTCCCGTTCCAAAATCACACATCATGTGTTTGTTACGGAAGAAGAACATGACAGTGCAAGGATCGTACAGCTCGTACATGGCCTTGAAATCGGGGACTTCGTCGAGATCGCAGAGGTAGATGGCGCAAAAGTTCTTTACACGGTCGGCGATCTTGTAGAGTACCTCGTCTTGCGACATGCAGTCGGGGTCCGAGTCCCGGCCGAAGCGGATCAGAACTAGGCGGTCCTCCTCGCTGAGGATGGCTTGGTCGACGTGCCATCCTGTGCGCAGGTGGGGGAGGACTACGGAACCCATGGTGGGTGGGTGGGTATGCGCGCGCGCGTGGAGTTTGGGTTGGAGGTGGGTGGCGGTGGAGGATAAGAGGTCAGAGTATGTGGGGTTGACGACTCGATACGGCGCGTGGATGTGTGCTTGATGCGATCGTAGGATAGGAATGGGCTATGCGTCAAAGATATTCGTATTGTTATGTATGCGCAAGTGTCGAATAAATAAATGGGTGTGCTGAAAGACAGTTGCGTGAGGCAGCTATCGCGCCCGTGATCTAGAAAGTTCGGGACATCCCGAGATCGCCCCACCATTCCAAAGTTGTGTTCCTCCTCAACCTCGACCTACAAATCTTCTACACTTCTCAACTAACTTGTTACTACCCACCACTCCTGTAGCCTTCTACCAACTGGTATCGGACTAATGATATCGCTCTGTCATCGCCCCATCTTGTTGGGTAGCAGCAGACAGTCTTCGTATGCGGAATCGCACAAGAAAGAACATCTAGCATGCTTTACTGTATGGTGCCACTTTTACGAGGAAGCATGCACGTAAGACGCCTAGTTCACTGTCCTTAGCAGCCGATCATCTCTCCAACGCTATTTCTGTGTCTTCGGAACATCGTTCGGGTAGCTCTGCCTGTCAGAGAATGAGCTGATCACCCTGGAGTGTTGTACAGAGTTGCTAGTCAATGGACCTAACTGCAAAATGCTCGTCTTCCAGTCCAGCTGCCTAGGACCCTTAAGTCTGTCTACAAGTGGGGCGCACTCTATCCTGATTGTTGAATTGAAAAGGGGCATTACCCAATCATAGCCCATCTATCCACGATGTGGGTGTGGGCGGGACGCCCCGCACGGGACCGGTAGGCCTTAGCGGAGTAGGGTCCGTCGACGTGTATACAGGTGCAAGCCGCCTCCATCACGCACATGTTGCAGCGTTACCGGAGCACAACAATGTCCAGATCTCTATGCACTGCATTTACAGTACCAGTGACTAAAGCCTGCAGGAGTATGTGTTCAGGATGTACGCCAGCACTTTACCACGATTTGACAAGGTATCACCAATGCTTTACACGACCATCCTAGGCCAGTCGAAAGGGTCTTAGCTTGACGCAAAAGGCGTCGTTTAGAGAGCTTCGCAAGTACGAGTAGGTGCGTGCGTTTGTGCTAATCTAAGTGCAGACAATTTCAGGTCAGAGGTGTAGCGCGCCTACTATAGTAATGGGTAGCTGAAGCCATGCATCACACCAAATGCCGATTCGCCCTCGCTGTTTTCGAAACACCCCACAGTAGCCTCACTGTATAGATTGGTTTGCCGTTGATGGGCATCGAATAGTGCAAAGATGACAGCGGTGATACCATTTTACGAAGTCTGTCGTCGATACTATTTCACGATGTACTGCATCGTCTCGTACCTAGGGCTCAGACCTTGAAGAAGTCTCATGCTAAATCCGGATAGTGATACAATTGCCATTGAGTCGGCTAGAAGCAACCTCAGTCTAACACAGGTCTGGCTACAATGAGCAGCCTTTGTTATGTCTCAGTGGACACATGCTTTCTCAATGATGACAATCGACAGGATATTCGCTTGATACTGCTTCTCGGTCCGATATCGTTTAACACACTGGCGTATGCCCACTGTATAGAAGTGGTTAGATCTACGCCAGTCAGTAAGAGCATTGCGCCTTCGGACCGTCAGTGTGCATACCGCGATGTACATCTCGAGCTGGAGACTCGACTTCACGCATATGGATGGACTTCTTGGTATAACACACGCTACACCGCTCTTCCGCTATATGCGTACTTAGTGCATCTTCTGGTTACCTAAGTAATCGGTATCATGCATGTATTCAATAGGCCAGCCTTTCATACGATCACGCTGTAGAGAGCCACGATCACACTGGACAGGTTCACGGTGTACTAAGTTCTCTTCAGAACTCGCATACGACATGACCGGTCTCGATGGGGGCATTTACGATGACCAGGAGGGTGCTGATGGAAGCTATTCGGCGGCAATGATACAGACTTACATGCAGACCGAAACAATATTCGAAAAGGCTGTCGAACATTTTCCAACGAAGCCTAGAGGTCGAAAACTCAGCCATCTGGCTATCGAAGTAGGCCTGGCGACTGTTTTCATAGGCTCGACTCTTACTTGGCTTTTCAGGCATCCGATCTTAACGAGTGCCTTTAAGGGGTCTAGATCAGAATGGCACACTGTAGGACAAGAGATTGTCTAGCACCTTCCGGGAAGAAACGGAGTACGAGGAATTGCTTTTACCACCTTCCAACTCTACAAAAGCCCCCTCCGTTCCTCGAAACCCTTATTATCCTCACCATTATCTATTGAACACTACAACCAGACAACACATCTCACTCACCAATACCTTCTGAACAAGATCAAAATGTCCGACTATACCGGCCCCGGCATGTACGAGGTTCTCCCCAAACACGCTCCGGAAATAAGCCTGAATGTCTGAGGTGGTGCAACAACTGCTGGCACGCCCATTAAGATGTAGTACGTATGCTTACCACGGCCGAATATAGCCGTCCTCGACTGATCGATTACTAGCCCGAGGACCACCAAAGCCATCAATACCCACTTTGAGATTGTATCGGCGGGAGGCTACTACGCCCAGCCCGAGAAAGGTGATTGTGAATATCACATCATCTGCGCAAACTCTGGTTTGTACTTGTGCATGAACTGTAAGCCAGTCGCATCTTCCTACGACATATTTGTCCCCTGACACCTACATCCATCTAGATTCGGGTGGTGACTTCGGCAAGATCACCGCCGAGGTTCGCCCTCCTCTTGACAACGACGTGCGCTGGAAGATTGCACACACTGGAAACGGTACCTACACGTGAGTTCTCTTCTCCCGCGATTGTATATGGGTAGGGATACGACCTAACGTATACCTTAGCACAGAGTTGCTATCAGTCAATCAGTCAGTTGTCAGTTCATCTTTGCGGTTCAAACTGTCAGTCTGGAGGTAGTGAACTGACCTGATTGACTGCCAAGACATTTTTTAGAATCGCGAACTGAGACTGA